TTTTATCATAGTATATAAGTAGTAGATTTGCTAGTGGTACGGAACCTTTGGCATGCGTATCGGTCTCGCGCCTCACTGCAATATCTCTCACACAAACACCTCCTTCTACCATTTACGCTCATACACCCACAACGTGGTTTGTTCCTAACAGAAGAGTCTCAGCGCATAGCTCTTTTTATTGTCAAGTTTTTTTTATTATTTTTTTTTAGTGATTTGTTTCCTGAGGCGCCTCAGGACCGGTTCTGGAAACGCGTTTTGGAACACTCAATATATGCTTGAATAATAAAAACCGTGAAAAATCGCACGGCATCTAATTATTCGGACAGTGTGTATCCGAAATGTGACCACTTATGACTTATCGGATGAATGATTTGTAATTATTTTTTTGTTCTGATGATCAGCGTTAATTAGTTGGGCGTCGATATCTTTAACGTTCATGTTTTATATTACTTACACATGACTTACATAACATATTCAAATGATTGAATTTTTATCTAGTGGTGCATGGCAGCGTGCCTTGAGGCTAATTTCTAAACCTTCCGTACATAAAATTAATATTTTTAAAAACTTTAACATTTTTTAAAATATTAGTTTTTTTAACATTATGTAGTTTTTGAAAAAAATGACTAGTTTGACTAATAATGGACGGGTAATTTTTTTTTTTTAACTCTTTGGGGACGGCTGTCCACCTGAGTGGACAAACATAATCTGTGTGGCACAGGCTATTTTATAAACAATGACTCAGTTTGCATCGAAAAGTTGAATAAATTACATATAGCAGTGATAAACTATGTTGTATTTTGAAAATAATATTAAGTTATTTTAGGAGTATTTTTATCCTTTTTCTTTGCTATATAGTCTTTCTTCTAATATTTAAAACGACCGAGCGCTTTTAAATATGCAAAACGACTGGTAAATTTTGTGAATTGTAAAAAATGTAAACAAAATTTGTTCTTATTATTACAATTTCTATCTGATAATTTGATGTACATCTCTAATGACCATTTTTGACAGTCAAAATTTTTAAACTTATTTTATTGAATCTCCGAGACTGCTAGACTTGCCTTACCAAAAATGTAATCAGTTCTTCATTTCTTCAATACAAATAAAATCTTTTTTGAATCATTCAAATCGGACGCTCCGTTCTTTCAAAACTGAATTGACATTTTTTGCACGTTTTGCCTCGTATTTTCAACAGGGCTAGTCCTGCCATTGCAAACTAATCAGTACGTCTCCCCATTAATACGAACCGAATGTTTATCGTATTATTTAAATCAGTTGATCCATGTTCTCGTCGACGGAAATGTGTATCCGCACACACCACATACATCCATTTTTTTCTAAGGTATGCTAAAATGTTCAGAAACTTTTAAAAGACCTATGAAAATTTTTATTTTAGATTTTTTGCGCGATTACTATAATTTGAACTACAGAAAGCTAATTAAATGAATAATAACATACCTGTAATAAAATGATCGATGGAATGCTTGAAGATTTCTGTTTGGTGCTTAAATAATTCCTACCTTCATTATATTCATTAATTCGCGCGGATTATTTATTTTTTATATCTCAAGTAATTTATTTAAATTTATTATTTTTACGCATTTATATATGAAATAGATAATATATTTTCCCAAGAAACACGCATAATATTCTAATTAAGACCAACAAGTTACAAGTAAATCTGTATTCATACACGCAGATATTATTTTCGCTTCGACAGATATTAATTGTTCTGTTGTGAATAAAAATTACATGAACTACATAACAGTTCAGTCAAGAGTGCCGATAAAATTCTTAAACACGTTAATAAATATCTACAGCCTATCTAAATGTATAAGTATCCGTAATAATAATTATGCAGATTGCTTATAACTTGTATTGCGAGTATAATTGCTAAGTAAAGTTAACGCAAAATCACGATATGCAGCGATTTATCTTATGAAACTAGGTAAGACAATGTATGATTAACGAATTAAATTAATTTTTATTTCGAGCTTATTCTAAATTGTTTTTGTTACAATTTTATTTAAAACATTAATAATATATAGTATATAAGTTCTAAATGTGATTATTTTTTTTTATCAAATGCACCAAAGCAACAGATAATTATCACATTACACTTGCTAGAAAGAGGTACCTTTACCACCAAACAATAAATTTAAAATTATAAATAGTATATATTTTATAATTTGAAATGTATCTATTAAATACTATCA